CTCCCCGTGGCTCGGCCCGTGGGCCCAGCTTCTCCAGGACTTGTCGCCTTGTCCCCCTGCAGTTCCCAGCAGCTCCGTCGAGGACCTGCGCCACGCCATCATCACCAGCCTCGAGCAGAGCCGGGACGCCTGGCCGCCCGCCTGTCCTCCGCTGGAGCCAGCGAGGTAGGGGCAGCATGGGGGTTAGGGGGTGGCTCTGGCAGCCTTCCTCTCATGGAGGGCAGGTTTCTGGGGAAACCCACAGCCAAAACCGAGCCGCTGCGTTGCCCACGTCCCAGGAAGACACAGATAACCCAGCCGGGCTACAGCCATTTCCCTCCTGTTGCGTCTCCTAACAAACCTGCTCGTCAGCCTTAATTAGAGCAAATGGGGCCGTGCCCTGCAAGGCTGCCCCCGCCAGCAGCTTTTTCCTGCCCGGAGAAAGGTTTTTCTTGATTTGGTACAAATTAGTTGGGATCTGACTTGTCTTTGCCGGATGCAGGCAGCTGCTCCGCTGTCCCGGGGCAGAGCATTTGGTTTTCCAAAGTGATGGTTGAGCTGCTCTTTTATGTTTCAGGTCTCCAAGTGCCTCTGTGTCCTAGCCAAAAACTCAGCAGCCCTGGTTCAAGTTCACTGCTGGTTTTTTTTTTTTTCCCCCCCTGCCCTGCCCTGCCCGTGCTTTGTTTTCTGCCTCCTTGGCTGACCCCGGCAGGTTTTCTCAAAGCCGGTGAACCGGAGCAGAAAATTGGGCTGGAAGCATCAGCGGGATGGAATTGCCAGCTCGGTGGGGCTGAACCTGTGTCGGCATCCCCTGCCAAATCCCCAGGGACGAGGGCTGAGCTCGTTTTGGGTGGGAGGGCAGAGCACCCGGCTGTTGCCGAGGCACCCACTGCCATCCTCTCCTCTTTTGCAGCGCGGAGGAGGTTCGCACCTTCTTCCAGAGGAACAAGGACCGGTACCTGGTGCTGATCTTCGAGAAGAGCGACTCCTTCGTGGGCAGAGAGGTGGGTACAGCTGCGTTTGTCCCTCATTTCTCTTGAAGCCCACGTCCCTGGTGCTAAATAGCCCTCTTGCCTCCCCGACGGGGATCCTGCTGCCCCCCACATCTGACCCCGGGGCCGCTGGGCTTGCAGGTGGCTCTGGACATGCTGCAGTACGAGAACGTGGCGGTGAGGAGGGTGCTGAGCAGCGAGAAGGAGCTCGTGGAGAAGTTCGGCGTCACCACCTTCCCCTCTGGCTACCTGCTCCTCTCCAATGGCTCCTTCTCCCGCCTGCCCGTGTGAGTGTGGGACATGGAAGGAGACGGTGGGTCAGGCGGTGGGGGGGCTGCTGGCCTTGCCTGGAGCTGGTGGAAGGGAAAATGGCTTGTGAGGGAGCTGCCCCTCTGCCAAATCTGCCTGGAGGGGGCACGGTGCGGCTCCCTGGTGCTCACTCTGCTCCGGATTGTGTGCCGGGACACCCACTGCTGGGGAGGCCGGAGGGTGCAGAGTGTCCCACGCTTGTTCCTGGGCTCCGCGTTGCCCGTCTGGCTGAGCTTTTGGTCTCCTTTGCTTTTCCTGGGGGTGGGGGGGGAGAGAAGGTGGTTTCGCTCACAGCTTCTCCCTCCTTGCAGGCACATGGAGGCACGCTCCTTCTACACCTACTACCTGCGCACGCTCTCGGGCG